CAGGGTGACAGCAGGATTTGGGGTAAAAGAAAGGCAATGAGCCCAATGAGGAAGGCAGAGCAGGTGGTATTGTCCCTGACAAGGTTTAAGGACCTGGAGTGCTTGCGATCCTATAGCTTCCAAGCTGGAAGGCAGAGTTGGGAATCAGATAAAGGTTTTCTGGCTTTCAGTCCAAAGTTACTTGCCTTTACATTACTCTCTCTGAGAGCAAACCCCGTGCAGAGGGAGAAGTGATCAAGGTGAATTTTAAGGATGGAGAAGAGGCGCATGGCAGAGGCTTAGCATCAGTGACTGTAAGTTGAGGCTGTGTGCAGTGGGGACGGGTGGGTGGCGGGATGGTGGGGCACACTGTGATGTTGCTTCAGCTGTCTTGGCCTTCTTTTAGATTTGCAGGAGCCCTCACTACCATCTGGGTAAGTAGCTGATTAGTCACATTTCACAGTGATAGTACATTCCCAGTTGCAAAAGAAATGGAATGTTTCTCCAAGGTGCGGGAGTGTTTGGGACAGAGAGCCGTAGATCACTGAAACAGCCAACGGAATAATCTGACCCTAAAAAGTAACCTGGGGATCAGTGCCTAAAAGTGAAAAAGAGGGATTTTTGTGACGTGCTGCACCATTTGATATATATCCTTTTTATTGGCTCCCCATTTGGTTCTCTTTGAGTGTATGTATTAGTTTTCTGGGGGTGGGGGGCGTAACAGAGGGTTCCAGACTGGGGGACTTAAAAAACGGAAGTTTGTTTTCTCACAGTTCTGGAGGCTGGAAGTTTGATATCTGGGTGCTGGTAAGCCAGTGCCCTTCTGGAATTTCTCTCCTTGGCATGCAGATTGCCGTCCCTCCTGATGTCTCCACGCGGTCTCCCCTCTGTGTCTTTGTCTTCATCTTTTTTCCTCATGAGGACACCTGTCTTGTTGGGTTAGAGCCTACGCTAATGGCTTCGTGTTAACTTCATTACCTCTTTAAAAGCCTTCTTTTCGAATACGGTCATATTCTGAAGGATGAGGAGGTTGAATCCGCAACACGTAAATCTTAGGGGGATATGATGCAGCCCATAACAGGTGATAAATTTAAAAGATCGAATATAAAGAAGTTGATAACAGTGATTGTCTCCATGGCAGGACAGGAAGCCTGGGAGGTTACAGGAAATTTTTCCATTAATTGTACACTTTTTGTACTATTTGAGTTTTGTTACTGCAAGTATTCACCTTGTAATCAAAAATAAGAGAAAATTATTGCATTGGTTACACATCTTTGCACTCAACACCTTTATCTATTTACCTGTCAGAGCAAGGAAAAAAGAGAGCAGGGGCGGGGTGGGGAGGGGCAGAGGAAGAGGGAAAGAGAGAGAATCTCAAGCAGGCTCCATGATCAGCTTAGAACGGCCCTGACTCGGGGATCGATCTCATGACACTGAGCTCATGAACTGAGCTGAAATCAAGAGTCGGATGCCTCACCGACTGAGCCACCCAGAGACCCCCAACACCTATTTATTGAATAAAATTAACATCAACACAGTGCGACTGTCCGCCATGCCTTTGGAATTTGGACCTACTTGAAGGTCTTTGATTAGTACAGGAATGGTACCTGCCAAGGTTTTTTCCTCATGTAACTAATTCTGAAGAAACAGAGGGCAAACTATAGACGGCAAACTCCAGGGGGCCTGGGCAAGAACAGCCTCACCATTTTATCCCCAGGACCACGCACAGTCGGCTCTCATACGTGCGGTATGAATGAATGCATCAGTGAGAGAACAGCTTCGGGGAATGAGTTCTTCCTAACGTTTCAGTTCCATAGAAAGCAGCAGGGAGGGGAGTGCAGAGGGGAGAGTTCCATTATTTTTTTTTTTTTAAAGATTTTTATTTATTTATTTGACAGAGAGAGACACAGCTAGAGAGGGTACACAAGCAGGGAGATTGGGAGAGGAAGAAACAGTCTTCCTACCGAGCAGGGAGCCCAGCGCGGGCCTGGATCCCAGGACCGTGGGATCATGACCCGAGCCAGGAAGGCAGACACTCAATGACTGAGCCACCCAGGCGCCTCAAGTGTCATGTTTTGAATAATTTACTAAACTAAATCAAGATAATAGGTTTAAGGGGGAAACCACTCGCCCTAATATGCTCTAGTCCTTGTTCTTTGGGAAAAAATAGAAAGATTCTGCCTACTTTGGGCCTCCTCTACAACAATCCAACCCTCCACAATCCTACTGTGTTTCCATATTTTGAAAAGAGAGGTAGCTAGGAAACAGTGGCATGCACCCTAAGCAGATTTCTTTCACAAATCCATTCACCCAAATTCCTTTTTCTGCCTCTCAATTCACCTCTGATGCTCACCTCTGACCTAACACGGCTTCTCGCCTTCTGTTGTTGTCTGGGGTTTCCAGGAAAGAACTTAACCTCTTTGTTTCTCTTTAAAGAGCACTAGACATTTTATAAACCCCTTCTGAGCTTCTGCAAGAGGGGAACAGAAAAACACAGCAGCCATGTCCTCTCAGGGACGCTGGGAGCCCCACCTGGTCCTCAAGACAGTGTAGTGCCTGAGAAAACCAGGTCAAGTTCAAAACGGTGTTCGGGTGATGCTGAACTTGAGTTGTCAATGCGGAAAGAATGAATGAGGAGTTTAGTTCCCCTGGTCTCATGCAGGTTTGAGGTTAGCCCAGGAAGTGGACTTAGCTTATGTAAGCCTGGGCGGGCCTGCCTCTCACCCTGGCATTTGGTACTAAGTCCACCGACAGTCCTGCGGTGCTCTCTCCACACCGCCACCTGCTGAGTCTGGAGGCCCCCTCCTCACCTTCCTCCATTTGGCTTCATCCAAACGGGGAGGTAACTAGATGCCTAGGTCACAGACGACCCACAAAGGCAGCGTTGTTTTATTAAAAGATACAAACTGTTTACGCTCTTAAGAGTAAGCTACAATGTGTCATATACATAGTTTCAGATTTACTGAAAAGACGTGGGGTGAAAGGTGAACGTCATCTGCCCTTAACCATAAAAGACAGGGGTTGAAGACAGACTTAAGTTCTCATCACAGAAGGCTTTGCTAGCTTTTTCCTTCGGGATATTGATACATCTTCCCAATGGGAATGATAGGACAGCAAAAGTAAATTCTGCACGAGTAATTTTTATTTATTTTTTTAAGATTTTATTTATTTATTTGAGCGAGAAAGCATGAGCAGGGGGGAGGGGCAGAGGCAGAGGGAGAACGAGGTTCTCCCCTGAGCAGAGAACCTGCCTCCAGGTTGGATCCCAGAAGTGGGGAAACATAGCTGGTGTCCAGATTATATTTATAATCAGGGCAAAGTGGCCAGCTCTGGAAAGGCTTTGTCATTGGATAGTTGAGGGGAATCAAGAAATTCAAAGAGGAGGCAACTTAAGAAACTACGTTAAAAGAAATGGCAAATACTAATGCTCATTTAATATAGATCAAGTGTATCTTAATTCATACTAGCCCGGGTCCTGTGGGTATTTAGTAGAGGCAAAAGATGTCTCTTCTGAGAGAATTCTGGAAAACGACGGTCCGTTTAAAAATAGCTCATTATTGTAAATAAAGGAACTCACTTCGGGCTTTATATCGCAGCAATCAGGCATGACTATTAAAAGGAACACAAATGTCTGGAAAAAGATTCCAGTGGGTCAATTCTTGGAAAGAAAGCTTAATCAGTATGAAAATGGGGACAATGTTCCAGGATTATGTGCTACTAAAAGCAAAGAATATGGTAATTAAATTAAAAGGGAAGAAATATAAGCCAGTATGGGATTAATTCCAGTGGAAATACTATTCAAATGCTGTGGGGGGACAACTCAATTCAATTCTGGGATTTCGCTTTTGTGGATCTGTTTCTTTCCCATGCCCTTGGGTGATTTATAACCTTTTTGAATGAGAGTCTAGTCAGCTAACAAATTTTCCTTCGGTTCCTGAAGATGGGTGCTTGTCTCCCTCTTTAATTAACCTGGTCATCAATTACCGTGGAATAAGGAAGATGATGTGGATTCTGTCAGGTAAAGAACTGACCAGCCAGTTTTAGGCCCTGAGCTATCAAACCTGGTTCTTAGAATCCACGTTTTCAAGTCTGGCTCTTTGTTTAGAGAAAGAGAACAAAATCAATAGGGTGGCTTGAAGGAGACATTTCCCCCCATCTGCCCTGAAGGCTGCTGAGCAATCCATTAGGGAGGATCCTGTTGAGAAATTTGTCAACAATTGAAAGGGTTTATCTGATGGCTGGCTAGTTGTGAAATTTAGCATCAAGTGTTTGATTCTTCAAATGAGGGGGTTAATTTGGGAGCTGGGAGTTTCCTTGCGTGAAAAGGGAGAATGTCTTCCCTGCATCCTGCCAGCAAACAAAAAACAACCACCCCAACTACCTGTAAGTGAGAGGGAGAGTCCTCTGCTCAACAAAGTTAACATTCTCCTGTTTCTTCCTTTTCCTTCCTTATAATTTTGATACACTTATTTGGCTGACTCTGTGTGTGTGTGTGTGTGTGTGTGTGTGTGTGTGTGTGTGTAAAGCCTGAAGACTTGGGCATTTGCTAAATGCGTGCCTTTAATTTTTATCTGATATACTTCCGTCATAAAAACATGTCTCGTCTTTCCGATCCTAATACAAAGCAGATGCACCACAAATGTTTGTTGACTCTGGTCCTTCTTCTAATAACAGTGATGGGAAATCCGGGAAAAGAATGTGTTGTTTTCTCAGAGAAGGCTCTGTAAATCTCAGGCGATAGATAAAGTGCCAGCTAATTACCCCCTGGGTCTCAGGCTTTCACTGGTGCCTTCTTAAATACACAAAACTCAAGTGAAGGCATGACACCATTAGCACTACATAATTCAAGCAAACAATAAATGTGTTTACTGTGCCTGGCTACTGACCACCTGCCTTTCCGTCCCACAAGGCAGGTATCTATATATAGGATCTCCTTGTTTGCATTCCCGCAGAGAGCGAGCCTTTCTCTCCTTTAGGCCTCACCATCTGTGAAAGCGCAAGAAGCTTGGGCCCCCGACAGCATGTGTCTTCTCTTACTTCAGCTGCTGGTGCTCCTGCCTCTAGGGAGGGCTGCACAGCGAGATGGCCACCCAAGTCCTAGTTCTGTCTCCCCTGTGCTCCCAGAAAGGGATCGCAGAGAGCTCCCCCTTGACAACCATGAGGATGCCGAGGAGAAGCCAGACCTTTTTGTCGCAGTGCCCCACCTCATAGGGGTAGGAGAAGGCCAGAGGCAGAGAGGGAAGATGCTATCCAAGTTTGGCAGGTTCTGGAAGAAGCCCGAGAGAGACCTGCATCCACCCCAGGACTTGGTCCCTGAGCGCGTCCCACCTGGGACCCACGCCGTCACCCAGCCCAGAGATGGGACGCAGATGGAGAAATCTCCTCTTCGGGAAGAGGCCAAGAAATTCTGGCACCACTTCATGTTCAGAATGAGCCCAGCCTCTCAGGGGATCATCCTGCCCATCAAAAGCCATGAAGTACATCAGGAGACCTGTAGGACAGTGCCCTTCGGCCAGGTATCGGCTCTGGTTGGGGGAGGGGATCAGAGTTGGCAAGAAAGGGGAGGACAGCTGGGGCAGGTGGAGAGTTGGGGAGGAGGCTGCTGGGATCCTGATTCTTACCTAACTTCCTGATTGGATCCTTGGGTATTTGTCATAACATGTGGCAAACTATCATTACACTCTCCAAATTTCCTTCTAACTCTCCATTGTCTCTTGGTATTCCGGAGATGCTGTGAGAATGGTGACGCTACTGTTCAGATGAGTAATCATTCCTATTGATGGCACAGACATTTGTCTTGGGGGTTTAACTTAGTTATATGCTGGAGGTGTTCTATCTGGAAAGATAAGTAAGACAGTCCCCTCAGTTAGGAGAAGTGGGAACTTGGGAGTGCCAACCAGAACTTTTCTCTAGCTATACCTCTATGCTCTATTGGGATGTGGACAAGCGGGTCGACCCTACCTGTAGATAAGGTGGGAAACACTGACTCCTAGCCAAACACTCACGTACACAAGTATCTCAGTCTTAATCCCCTGCATTTCCCACCCAACTATTTCATAGGCTGTCTGATGGAAGTCGTGACATTGTTTCTATGGTTACGATGGCAAAATTGATTTAATTTAACTTACTTTCTCATAAGCTTTCAAGAAATAATATCAGTGTGAGATCACATTTTCTCCCCTCAGAAACACCTCCCACTTCCTGTCACGTTGGCTGACTTATGGTTATTGTGATCGATTCTGCACTGTTAAGACAAAGGGACCTTTTCTACTAGCCGCTTCCTCCAGTCAATCCTGGCAAGCCCTGCGCTCCAAATGTTAAATTAAATTGAGACACTGCATCAGGTCCTTAAACACGAAGATACTGAACCCAAAGCAATGCAGGGGAGAGTAAAATTTTACAGTCCAATAATGCTACCCAATTAAACAGGCAGTATTATAAGGTAATTGACTGTGTAAGGCAGTTAAGTATTCTGCCTGAAAAGGCAAGGATATGTAGCAATAAGTCCATTATCAAATAATAATGACTGCTTTGTTGGCCATGTGCAATTAGAAAATTGCTCCCAAGAAATCATGCAATTGAATTTCCTTTGAAACTCTTATTTTTAATTCTATGGCTAATTAAACTAAAATTAAGGTGTTTGACTCATATGTCTTGAAGGGCACATAAAGCTAGGTGAAGGGGGATGGGCGGGGCAGAGGTGATGTAATGTATGGTGATTTGCAGACGTATCACTTTGTCCCATGCAACTTCTTAGATTTGAACGTACTATAGGCCCTGCAAAATAGAATAGAATTCATCTTGATGTTCTGATCTACTCTATGAGCAGTTGAACAAACACGGATGGAGAATCTATTATGTGTAATGCACTGTGGGGCATAGAAAGATAAGGCACATTATTCGTGTAGGAAGTTAGTCATTAGGATTTTTCAACTGGTAACATTTAATTAGACAAAATTTCTTCAAGTTTGGATGTAAGATGTAAAACATTTTCTCGTTAACTTGGGGATTTCCTAAAGGCTCATTTAGTAATCTGTCCAATAAAAGAAATTTTAGTTGAGGTGGCTTTATGCCCTAGGAGATTAACCATGGCTCGGATATTGTAATATATGCCAAACTGGAAAGTTTTTGACATTTTAGTCTGAATTATCTTCAGACTTAGAGTCTTTTTTGCTTCTACATCACGTGTGTTAATGAAATGACTCAAAATGACTGAATGGAGATGTTTTTGCCTTGTAGACAATTACCCATGAAGACTGTGAGAAAGTTGTTGTACAGAACAACCTTTGCTTTGGAAAATGTGGGTCCATTCATTTACCTGGAGCTTCACAACACCCCCATACGTTCTGCTCCCACTGCTCGCCTGCCAAGTTCACCACGATGCACTTGCAGCTGAACTGCACCAGCCTTGCCCCCGTGGTCAAGGTGGTGATGCTGGTGGAGGAGTGCCAGTGCAAGATGAAGACTGAACATGAGCATGGACACCTCCTCCAGGCAGGCTCCCGGGCAGAATTTCATGCCCAGGATCCCTTCATCCCAGGATTTTCTACTTAAAAAGAGATCCCACTATTATCTTTGAAAAGCAAAACTGTAGTAGCAAAGGTGCTGGATTATTCAGCTTGGAAGTGTTAGCAAGTGCACACTATTTTAAGGGAAAGGTGGTTCAAAAGTAGTGAGATAGAACAATTTAGAGGCAATGGTGTTCATCTAGTTGTGGGTCTATGTTTGGGTTCTACTTTTGGCTCTGCCCCCCCTGGCAGGAGGACGTTAAGGAGTTGTGGAAGCTTTCTCCATCTTGAGGGCTTCATCTCTACGTAAGGGACTTGAATCAGATGATTGCTTAAGTCCTTTCCGCTACAATATTCCATGACCTAGGGTCTCCACATTCTGGTAAAAGTCCTCCATCTGAAGTTGGAAAAGAAAGAAAGTGGGCCCTAAAAATGGGCTTCTTTAGTCAAAGCACCACCAAAAATACATTTCTAGTTTTGTAGGGCAGATTCTTTTCATTTCAGGCTGTGTTTTATTTGCTTCCATCAGATGATTATTTACCTTCCATGGATGTAAGGAGTAGCTTGCTTGGTTGCCTCATAGTTCTTTGGATATGCCCCATATAAGGTTGTTAATGTCAGGTCCTTGGCTTTGAAGAAGGAGCGGTAATGTTACTTTCAGTGGTTCACATAGGGACAGGGAGCAATCACTGGAGGCCACGCAAGTATCTCCATGATGGGGGAATAAAAATATATGACCTGCACTACCAGGCTGAAAGGTCAATCCAGAGATGCCAATGAAAGTAACATAAGAATTCCAGTGGACGTCAAATTACATAAACTGCTTGGAAATGGAAACAATTTACCGGTGAAATTCTTTATCCCTTTTGGAGTAGGTAGTAAGTTAGAGTTCTATGTTGGGATGATGTTTTTTTGTTTTGTTTTTGTTTTTGTTTTTGCTGCATTCTAAAAACTTCATATTACAGATTTTTATTCTGTAAATGTCATACTTGCAAGGTCTGAAAATATTCTGAATATTTTAATGTATTAAATTTTAGTGTATGAAGCATTCTGGGAAATGTCATGGCATTCAATTGTCTTAAATTTTGTCTTAATGGTGCTTTTTCTGTCCCATAACTTAAAGGTGCTATCTGGAGACGATGTACCTGGGGTATTTCTCATATGTCTTCTGAGGCTAATGATAATACCCCAAGTGTTTCTTCTGACGCTTCCAGCAGTCCTCTGTTAACAGAAAAATCACTGTCCTAGTGGTTCCCTTTCTTCTTCTGTATTTATTTGTATTTGTACATCGTATAGACCTGGCTTTCCCTCACCCTATTTCTTTTTCTGTAATCATCCTTTAAAAATTTCATCTTAAAATTATTTTGATTATTTGAACCTTATTTCTCACAGTATACACAAAAAGGTGTTTCCCAGAATATTGATTTTTTAAAGGAATCAAGGTATACTTTAATTCTATTTCTCTTTAATCACACCATCTAACCTGGCGTTCCAAAGAAGCAGATGCACTTATATTTAGTGTATATTCTACATTGAAATAATAGAATACGTGATATACAGATAAATATGTGGCATTTCCATCAGAATATATTATACCCTTCAGTGGTCAAAGACAACCTAATTGGCCAAGATACGGCCATAAGGATGAAACTGTTAAGCATTAATGATATCCCAGCTGGTCAATATATTTTGGTGCCAAGAGCCATTGAGCAACTGTCTTGTTTGCAATTGCCTAACCCTGATTATGTAAACCTATCCCTGCCAATTGGACCGTCCTTCTTACATGCTTGCAAATCCCTTTTATTTATCCTTGCAAATAGACTCTCAACCCAAGCCCCAAACAATCATCCATCTTATTCAAACTCTGCTCTGCTCTTCCTTCTTGTGAATTCAAGATGAGACAGTGGAGAGTGGTATCAGAATTGACCTTCATAGTGCAAACCTCATGAGACTGCCCACGTTCATCCATTTTTACTGGTAAGAAAAAAAAAAGGCAGTTCTCAATGGTTCCACATAATACACAGGAGCGTGGACACCTGAGAGGAAACATACAAATACTGAACATCTATTAAGGGCCAGATATTATTCTGAGTCTCTTACATAAGTTATAGATTAGAAAACTTATATAAGGGGCGCCTGGGTGGCTCAGCAGGTTAAAGCCTCTGCCTTCAGCTCAGGTCATGATCCCAGGGTCCTGGGATCGAGTCCCACATCGGGCTCTCTGCTCAGTGGGGAGCCTGCTTCCTCCTCTCTCTCTGCCTTCCTCTCTGCCTGCTTGTGATCTCTGTCTGTCGAATAAATAAATAAAATCTTTAAAAAAAAAAAGAAAACTTATATAATACATCAATTCATATATAATCTTCATAAAAATCTTTTTTACAATTTTACTTAAATTCAATTAATTAACAAATAGTGTATTATTTGTTTCAGATGTAGAGTTCAGTGATGCATCAGTTACATACAACACCCAGTGCTCATTACATCACCAGCCCTCCTCAATGGCCATCACCCAGTTACCCTATCCCCCACCATGCTCCCCTCCAGCAGCCCTCAGTTTGTTTCCTAGAGTTAAGAATGTCTTATCATTTGTCTCCCTCTCTGATATGATCTAATCTTATTTTCCCCACCCTTCCCCTATGATCCTCTGTTTTGTTTCTTAAATTCCATATATGAGTACAATCCTCATAAAAGTCTTATGAGGTGGGTAAATACCTTATTTTTATTTTTATTTTTAAAGATTTTATTTATTTACCTGAGAAAGAGAGAGAGTGAGAGAGAGAGAGCATGACAGGGGAGAGGGTCAGAGGGAGAAGCAGATTCCCTGCTGAGCAGGGAGCCTGATGTGGGATTCAATCCTGGGACTCGAGGATCATGACCTGAGCTGAAGGCAGTCACTTAACCAACTGAGCCACCCAGGTGCCCAGTAAATACCTTATTTTACAGGTAAGGAAAATAGGCCTTAAAAAGTTTAAGCAACCAGCCTAAGGTCATTTAGAGCATATTTTCTACTTGTATTAAAATATTTGCTCATTTATTGCCCATCAGTTTAGATCTATCTCTTTGAGATCTCTTGCCTCTAGGCCTCAGAGCTAATTTCTTTGATCTCTTGCTCAGCAATCTTATTTAAAGGACATCAATGTTGCCTCTTGAAAGAGAAATCATCCCTTAGTCAGGTTCTTAGCCAAGCATTACCCTAACTTGAGAAGGGGTCATGGCAATTCCCTCATCAGTCTTGGTCTCATTTTCTGCCCAGATAGGATGAGGGTGATAAATAATTACTTCAAAATTATTGTGGGAACACCTGAGTGGCTCAGTCAGTTAGGGATCTGACTCCGGATTTTGGCTCAGGTCATGATCTCAGGGTCGCAAGACTGAGCCTCATGTCGGGCTCCACGCTCAGTGGGGAGTCTGCTTGAGATTCTCTCCTTCTCCCTCTTCCCCTGCCCCTTCCCCTGCTCGTGCTCTCTCTCACTCTCTAAACTAAGTAAGTAAATCTTTAAAAAAGTTATTGTGATGATCAAATGTAAAAAGCAGCACATCAGAGAGCTTTATATTCTAAAAAAATCACAAGGGCTGAGTTCACTCTTTTCCATTCAGATGTTCTTTCTTTGAAAAAAGTTTTGTTTTGAGAAATTCAAAATACATAGAAAAAAGTGCAAAGGATATTATAGCAAACACTCCAGTTCTTACCACCAGAATATTTGACATTTTGTCATCTCGTGCTCCTGGTCTTTTTTTGTTAAAAAAAAAAAAACCATTTCACGTATAAATAAAGTCCCCTCCAACCACCATGGGGTGTCCCATCCCCCAAACCCCTGACCTCTCAAGAATGCTCCCAGGATTCCGATTTATACTTTCAATACCCTTTTATATATATTTTAATATTTATTTGACAGAGAGAGAGATCACAAGTAGGCAGAGAGGCAGGCAGAGAGATGGTGAATAGCAGGGAGCCTGATGTGGGGCTACATCCAGGGACTCCAGGATCATGAGTTGAGCCAAAGGCAGATACTTAACCAGCTGAGCCACCCAGGCACCACTTGTAACAGTTTTTAAAGGTTTTTTAAAAAATATATATATACTTTTATCTGGATTCTAGAACCTTGGCATTAAGTATTCTCCACAGAGAGTGGTTAGCTTAGCTTTGATAATTTATTTTTTCAATATACATAGCCTCTTTAAACTGTCAATTTGATTCCTAACTAAGAATGTCATGCACCTTCTTAATTTTTATAAAGGATCTATTGTACGCAAGACACTGGGCTGAGAACCCAGAGATAAGCAAAAATAAATAAGACACATTTTCCTCTGCCCTGGAACTTACATTGTAACAGAGGTAATTTGTGCAAATTATAAAGCAATAATGGTAGTAATAATAATAGGAGCTACCAGTTATTGAGGCCTTACTATGTGTTCACATGCTTTCTATTCCTCATCTCCTAGAAATAGAAATTTCATACCTTTTTTTTGACAAGGGGAGTGGGTGTCAGAAAGCTTCATTCATTCAGTCCACAAATATTTATGGTGGTGATGAGACTGGTCACTGTTCTTGGTACCAAGAATGTAAATAAAAGAATGCACGATTATTTGAATATAATTCCTGACCTTGAATAATTTACAGTCCGGGAACAAACAAATAAATATATTTGTTTCCGTAAAGCTAGAATGATGATCTTCCTACTGTGCCCTGCTTCCACTTCCTCAGTGAAGCCCCCCTTAAGCCCTACACAAGGTCAGTTTAGCTCCTTGCCTGATTTCATGGTGCTCTATGCCTTCACTTCTCACACTTGTTTCGGTTTCTCATTATACTATTATTTGTGTCATTAATACTCAAATCCAAAGCTCCATGAGAACATCGATCGTACTGGTTTTCTTTCACCACTGTCACCAATGCCTGGGAAAGTGTCCAGCAATAGTAGGTACCAATGCAGAATTTTTGTCTGCACAAAAGAAACAATAATAACAGATATCATATGTTGAAGGTGTATCATGCACCAGGCACTGTGCCAACCACTTTATATACATCATTTCATTTAAGCCTCAGGA